ACAATTAGTCCCTTTCATAAATTTTGATAGAACAGTGAGATGTAATTGATCTGAAAAATATGATGTATTTGCGCCATACATTTCGAACACTCTGGTCGCATATATACTTGTCAAGGCATTTTATATGAAGACTTATAGAAGGTCAATTAAATAAAAGTTCAAATAGATATAAGATGATAATTGTAAGTAAAGGAGAGAGGAAATTAACGTAATATGAAAAGAATAAGAAAGGGTAGGAAATTGTCACATTACCCTAAGCTTAAAGATTACCGGGGTATAACTTTGAATTTATTTAATTGAGGTTTTATTAATCTTCAAATAAAATGCCTTGACAAGTATGTGTGACCAGACTGTTCAAAAGGTATGGCGCAAATACGTCGCACTTTTCAGATCGCTTACGTCTTCTCACTGATTTATCAAAGAAGATATTTACTCGCTATAGTTGTTCTCATCCTAAAATTACTTTGGTTTTTCATCATAAGATTTCCTCCATAAACTGTAAGATTATTTTTTAGATTTCAAAACAAAGGTACTTAAAAATGTTGGGATAGCCAATCGAGAAGAAAGCCACGCACATTGTGGATTGATGAACTTATCGATTAAATGCTTAAATATTTCAAGGGCAGTCGATCGATGAACTATTGGATTTAATATTCAAATATTTAAACGACAATATCGATTATATGTATAATTGTATAAATACGCATGTCTGATTGTATATTTTTGATTCTGTTAATAAGTGTTCCCCAACGTCTTCCGTCTTCTTATTTTTTGAACGGTGGGAGTCTAACGTTCGGGGGTCATTAATACAGTGGTTTGGCGTTACATCAAGCAGAAAACATAAAAGTGGCGACGGAGTGTTCAACCCACAATGCCAATTACCCTTGAACAGATAGAATCTTTACTGGAACGTCAAGGAAAACTATATGAACAGTTCCAGGAACGTTTGTTGGCGTTGTTAATGAAACAAATGAATTTGAATCACAGAGGTCTTACCGACGACTCATATAATCCACATACAGACTCGATAGTTAGTTCCATTCATGAATTTCATTTTGATGGCCTTGCTGGTGTGACTTTTGAGTCTTGGTTCAAGAAGTATGAGGATTTGTTCAAGGTCGACCTCAGCAAACTTGAGAAAGCTCGGCACAATCGAACACGAACGTTATAGTAATTTCATCCTCCCAAAGAACCCACGAGATTTCTCTTTTGATGCCACAATTGAAACGCTGTCGCAAATCTTCTCTGAACAGTCATCTCTCTTTAATAATTCGTTATCAATGCCTCAAAATAACCAAGTCAAATGAAGATGACTGGATAAAGCACGCCGGCTTAGTAAATCGTGAATGCGAACGATTTAAATTATCATCAATGACGGAAGATCAGTTTAAGTGCCTTGTGTTTGTGTGCAGCTTATAATCTCCCGAAGATGCTGATATAAGAACCAGAATCTTAAGTAAAATTGAGCAGTGCCCAAACATCTCGAAGCATGATACCGCCATGGTCGAAAACAATGGCCGTGCATCATACGTGCATGCCGTTAGTGAAAAGAACGGTGGGAGTCTAACGTTCGGGGGTCATTAATACAGTGGTTTGGCGTTACATCAAGCAGAAAACATAAAAAAACCAACAGAACTGCTTCATTCTTCATATCTGGCTTTCTAATTAATTATCGAATAATCCAATTAGTTGTTCAATGTTTGGAGGCAATCGGCAGGAAACTCTGTCATTTCTTAATTTGGTTGATAGAATTAAATAAGTATCAGGGACTAAATAAACATGAGTTTGATTAGAATTGAATGAATAATAATGTACTTCGGTTAGCGTTGTATACCTAATTTAGTAAAACAGAGATTTCATAAAGGCCAAAATAACTAAGTTGTAAGAACTCTAGCTGTAATACTAATCGCTGGCGTGAATTTCATAGAAAGTGTAACGTTCAATTGAGTTGTATCTACATTTTTTTAAGAAAAGGAAATCTATAGAGAGAACATATAACAGTAGTCCAAATGCTCAATTAATATGAATTCACTATGTCCTGCACCTCAGTAATATGAACCGATTTACGGCAGGTAAGACTCCATAATAAAAAGGTAACCTACGTCACAAGTAGATATACTAAAAGAAATTTCGGTAAATCTACAAGGATTGTACAGGCAGAAATACAAAAGGTTATCTTCGTAAAAATTACGGAACGTCCTCCTTTGAGACGTGATATGTGCTTATAACCTATACACAAATAAGATACGAACGATAGGTAAAGTCGGCCTTCAAAACACTAATGATTATAAGCATTGTAAGGTGAACTAGTAATCATACATGAACTGTGAATTGAATTACAGGATAGGTCAATAGATAAGAATTATAAAAAAATTTCTGTTACACCTGATATTTGACGGGTAATCAGTCAGTCCCGATTAATGTGAAGCCTAACATAAATGTGCTCCAGCACAGTTTTACTGCCTTAAGTAATTCAGTATGTTTTATTTAGCTACTTCAAACTAATCTATAATATCTCAGACAGACAGATACAACGCAGAGATTCGTAAGTAAGTACATCAGTTCAGGTTGCCATACCACATCAGCACAGAGACGCAACTGTCACTTCAAATTCAAGAGTGATGGCAATTGTAGAAGTATTAGCGGTAATGGAGAAGACTAGGGAGCGAAGATATGATTCGAGAAGTATAATTCAGTGAGATGAATTTAGAAGGAGAAAGATAGAGATTATGAGGAATTCAGAAGGTTAGAAAATAGAGAGAACACAAAGAGTGGATGCACCTGAGCCATTGCAAACGATTTTGAGCCATGTCATTCAAGGTCTCTAACCATCGGTGACTATCGTCTCGCGGACCCCAACCAGGTAGCCTACATCTACCATCATGACTCAGTCCACTTGTCAGTGCCTTCATGGATTTCTGCCATGTTTTGGTTTGGCCGCCCCTAGCTTTCTTCCAACCTACTCCTACACTACAAAACATAGCTCGTCGAGGCAGTCGGTGGTCGAACATTAGTAACACATATCCTAAGCACCTCAAGCGATGGAGTTTCACTACTTCATCTATTGATTTGCCATCCCTACCTAGAACTCGTTTTCCAACGACAGAATTGCTTATACGGTTATCCCAGGATACACAAGCAATGCTTCGGAGACATCGATGATCGAAGACTAGTAACCTACGAAAGTCCTCTATTCTTAACGGCCATGTTTCGCATCCGTATAGTAGGACGGAGCGAACTGCTGAACAGTATACTCGTCCATTGGTTAACAAACGGATATCTCGCCTGCGCCATAGGTGACGCAGGTTGGCGAAAGCCAGTCGAGCCTTTTGTCTCCGTGTTGAGATTTCGTCAGTCACCAGCACTGATGAGACTCCCCAGATACGTGAAGCGTCCTACACGCTCGACTACTTCACTCCGTATCACTAGTTCAGGTGCCGATGAAACCCAATCTTGAAGCAGCATTTTGCATTTCGAGGGGGAAAACCGCATCCCGAACATGCTTGCATTGTTGCTTATGGTAGTCAGAAGACTCTGCATTTTGTCAGTGTCTTCACCGAATAGAACTATGTCATCGGCATATTCTAGATCAGTAAGCGATTTTCCTGGTAGAAAGGCGACTCCTGAAAAGTCGAACGAGGATAAGGTTACATCTAGCAGCATGTCTATGACAATATTAAACAACAATGGAGAAAGTGGACATCCCTGACGGAAACCACTTGAAGTAGAGAATTTCGATGACAGTTCGCCATAAGCTCTCACCCGACCAGTAGTTTTAGAGTAGAGAGCTTGTACTTCTTTGGTACACCTTTCAATCACAAACACTGCCACAGAACCTCACGATCAACAGAGTCGAATGCCGCCTTTTCCATCGCTTTTGCTTTCGCCACCCACAACTGTTCACGGTCGTTGCGTAGGCTTTTTATCAGCCTTCGCTTAAGCTGACTTCGTTCTTCATCATGTTCAGAGCCAGGTGGGATGAGTTTCCGAGCATCCATCAGTTCGGTGGATGCTACAGAGATCCACGGTTTCATTCTAGCCTTACGGTTAACCTTACTAGCAGATATCACTGCTGTTTGCACAGCCTTTTTGATATCATTCCAACCTGACATAATATCTAGGTTTAGATTAATCAACATGTTAAAAGGTTATTGAACAGTATTAGAAAATAATTATCAAACTTTAAACATTCACAACTAAGCACTCCTATAGACCTATACCTAAACGGATTAGGACACACCGATAACAGCAGGTTGTTTAACCTAAAAGCTTATTTATTAACAAACTGCATATTCATTGTATAGATCAAAAGCAAAGAAAAAAGCAGTTAGATCTAAAATCCCAAACCAAAAAAAAAAATCAAGTAAGGTTACTTTGTATCTCATAGAGTATTCGTATATAAACATTTATAGTGATAATTTACAGTGAGGAAGGATCTAAAACACACTTATCGACGATTATTATGAAAATCATATAAAGTAACAAAAAATTAGCATTCAAAGAAGTGAGGGAATGAAACTGACGGAATTCATACTCCGAAAAGAAAACAATTGAAAAATCTTATAAGAACAAAAGAAGGTTTCATTTCCGTTCAGTAATTCTATCATAGCAAAAATATAAACAAGTATAAAGTTTTGTATGTATATACATATATATATATATAAACGCAACAAAAATAGGTAGATCAAATGTTAGTTACAATATACATCTAGAGAAATATACATAAGACAATAGTACAAATATATCTATATACAATTATTATAGGTTATTCTGCTTAACTCAAATTAATTATCATCAAGTTGTATTTAAAATGAGTATAAATTATTACTTATCAATGACAGAAATAGATATTTAAGTTTTGTTTCATAGATATTTTCTACATAGGTCGTTATTACTACTATTATCATCAGTAATATCGATAAATGCAAGTTTTTTTTTCCGTAAATCATGCAAATATATACATATAGTTGTTCCCAAGTTCAGATGAGATCACTTTTCGTTTACTGCAACTTATTGTCACAAGCACTGTTGTTTCTACTGTCACTGCTGCTGATGTTGATGTTATTCTGCCGTAGATACATGTCTGTGAATGTTCCAATAATTGTTATGTAATTAGGTTCAGGAATTAGTGTTAATTCTTCAGGTGACGCCAAAAGTACATCGTCTAAAATTAAAGCAAAATAAAACGTCACTAGCTATTATTATTATGATTACTGTATGAGAAAAATGTATGCGAGTAGCATAACCTGCTGTTACTTCAATTAATCGCCTAAAGACAAAGTTTGATTGACCAATAATAAAAAAAAATTACATTGAAATCGTGAACTGATCTACGTTAGACTACCAGTGGGAACCTGGAAGCATTGGACGGTCGTTTCGTTCTACAATGGGACCACTCTTAAATGCGCGTCCGCAACTTTGAAAGCGAGATCGATTGATGGTATCAAGGAGATTTAACAATCTTCATAACCACTATCCTGAACATAATATTATGTTAATAAGTTAGATGAAGAAAGAATGACACTGTTTTTGTATTTTATGGTTTTCTTGTCAATAACTTACTTGCTTAGTTGGAAAAATATTACCCACCATGAAAATTTATTAGAAATCATTTATTTATCAGAAAAAATTAGTAAATTATTTGCAACGTTAAGTTGTAACATTAAAATCTTATTTCAAGGGCAAGTGAGTAAATACGATATTTTTATGATAATATTTTGTATGTAGCCAAGTTATTTTATTAGTTGGAAAAATTATACTTCTGTAAACTGCTCTTGTCTCGCTATAAGTTCATTTAAGTTTCATTCAATGAATTGGTCTCATGACCACCAATCAGTGGGCCACAAGGTGTCATTGAATTATTTCTACAGCTCCAGATTCTATTCATTTACTTTGACAATCAACAATCCTATTCACTCATCAAATCCTCATTCCATAACAATATATATTTAATGGGTTCATTATATCCACCTCCTGTTGTGTAATGAAACCATGAAAATAATTTACATAGAATGGATAGAATGTGGTTAGCATTGGAATCCAGTACGCGCGTTTCGTCCTATTTCAGATTCATCAGCTAGATGCACCTGCATCCCAAATTTGGTGTTCAGCCCCGAACTTAAACCCAATACCACTCGCTCCAAACGACACCACGTTATCCGCATAGCTACTGAGTCGAGATAACCACTATCTCGTGCAACGGGTATGAGATTTAATTCAATTTGAAATGGTTTGGATTATCCTGTTGACGTAAATAGGACAAAACACGAGTCATGGATTGCACTGCTAACCACATTCTATCTAATCTATATAAAGTTGAGTCATAATGGCTATGTCCAGCCTATTCACATAGGATGCCAATATATCAACCAAGATTGATCAAATATCAATAACGGGATAATTCGATTCATTTCAAATTAAATGTAAATGATTTATTTTCAGAAAAGTAGGTATGTTGAAATATATTCAGTAAATTGTGTAAATACTTGCCCTTTTATAATATATCTACTTTCAAAGGTACAAATAAGTTGAGATAGCCAATTAGATGTAACATGTGATAGATATTAATCTATCACTTGAATGTTTTATTCTATATACTTGTTTTTTTTCAAACGTATCTAGTTAAACAAATACAAATAATTCGAATCCGTGTTTTTTTCTAAATTCCGGTTTACAAATGAATTTCTGCTTTCATTATAAACATTCGTTTATTCTTTCACTTAGAACTGCAAAAACTTCAAATTATTAATGCAAACAAAGCAACCAACAACAATAACAACAACAGATGAATATTTAAATCACAAAAGTATTAAATTTGTTTGTTTTTACGCAAGGAAGTGTGTCATAGAAGAAGGAGAACGAAATACAAATAACGCAACTTAATTTTATATTTTTTGATGGCTTTGATACACAAAAAGAAGAAATGGACAAAGTGAATATTTGAAGATTGACCCGAATTATCAATGGAAATGGAAAAAGAGAGTTTCAAAAGTAGTAATATTATAGGAAATAGTTGACACTTACCACTGTAAAAACAACATCTTAAATATTTTAACAGATATGTGGGATTAGTGGATAAGATGTTTGCAGTAAAATACAATTTACTTATTTAAAAAATGTACAATACGTTTTAAAAGAAAAAAATAGTATTTGTTCTGACGAATGTGTTTTTAAAAGAAAAAACAGAAAGTAATCTTGATTAGATGCTAGTGCTAATGTGTTTTATTTATTCTAAACGATATCGATTCACACAAGCATGAGCCAAGCGGATTTTAGAAGATTTGTTGAGAGTGTAAAGCTGTTCACACTGCTGGTAGTTTAGGTCTACATTTCTAAACCAACAAAAAGTTGTACTATAACAATACGGGCTGATGTTAACTTAGTCGCTCTTTATTTACTGTACTATTTCAATGTATTTAGGAACTAAAATAAACTATTTTATCAAATTATATTCTAAACTATTAATTAGATATTGATCAGACTGGTGCTCTGAAAGGAACTCAACAATCACCTGGCTTATTATAGAAGAAAACAGTGATCGATAATTTCAATATTCCCTAGTGGTTGGTTATTTGAGGCTGGAAAATGGTTATACAAATCGAATGAGTATATATGAAACAGTTGAGAACGATAATCATAGCATTGTTATATTTTAAAACGCTGGATAAATATATACGTTGAGAAAAAGGTTGTAGATAATTAAGCGCAGAGATAGCTATAAACTAACGATTTCGGGTGGTTTTTTTACAGGTGTGCATAAGACTTCTTCATATAAAAATAAATAGAATAACACGTAAAAGAAACGGAATTTTTTACATAAACTTAATTACCAAATTTTCAAAAAGCTCATAGGTGACCAGATTGAATTTCATACACTTCAAAACGGAAAAGACAAACTCACCTGAGATAGTGTATGTTACACGATCAGAAAACAAACACGGTTGTGAATTTGCAATTACACGAACCATACGAATGGCTCCTATGTCTCGTAAATGCTGATGAGTAAGCAAAACAAGTACACGAATAGGAAGAGCAAATAAATTTTGTATGAAAAAGAAATTTGTCGTTCATGAAAAAAGAAATGAATCCTGAAACAGTTATTCAGTATGCTATACGATGAATTTCTTCATTTTACTGATACACTGCTAACGATAGTGACGAAAATACCTCGCTTACGTACCATGAAAAGACGGAGTATGAAATATTAAGGTTAAGCATAGAATGCTAATCAAAAATTGCGAATCGGTTGATAAGGTTGTGAATTATAATCAAGTAAGTTTGTTGAGAGGGTATGTTACATATTTCAAACCACCGTAAATTTCAGAGTGTAACGCTATTCGAAACAAGACACTAATGTGTGGACCGATTGACGGTTAAGTGGAGACTAATTTATTTAAAGTTCAGTCAGTATTTCGAAAGGTTGAATGATGCATCAAAATTTGCCAGTTATGGAGATGAATTCAATTTTTACATTCCTTTATACTTTCAGCTCCAATATTCCCACACAGGTTCTTTCTTTCAAAATATACTCTCAGTGATAAGTCTTCGTCATTAACATTACTAGTGTGTTATTGCGACGCCTTAGCTAATTGTTAATCGCATTAAGTTGTGCCAATGTACTACGGAGACCCGGACTAATGTACAGTTCTAGATCGATCATTACTAAATCAAACAGTTGACATTACACAAAACTTTGGAAAACTGGCCAACGAAATGAACAATTATAAGTAGAATAAATGTTTGAGAAATTAACAATACAATTAGTATTAATTAATACAATGCAAGAGATATTCTATTTAGATGAAGACTCAAAGGCATCTAAACAAATAAATAATCGTAATACTTAAGTAGACAGTTGAGAGATTATATCCCGAAAATAAGTGCCACATTCGGAAAAATTTGCTAAATCAAGGATAACCAAGTACTCGGTCACCGACACGCTTAATTTGTTACATCTCAAATAGATAAAACAGAACCGTAATTGAAGAGATCACTTTAAAATCGATTGATGAAAATAGTAGTAAGTCAGTTTATATTACATGTGACTTTAAGCATTAAGGGTTTTCGAAAACATCACAAAATATAAAAGGAAGATATTAAAGTGAGAAAGCGTTTGGAAAACACTTCTTGTTTAGTGAACATGATTGTGAGAGATATTTCTGACACTATACGAAAACATTTTCAATTAAAGCTGCTATTTATTAGTTAGATTGGAATTCAGAGTGCGGAATTATTCTAAGGACGTCAAATAAACTAGAATATTCATACAAGAGAGATTTACGACGAGGAAGTATACTGGAGAAAAATCTACTAGCAAAAAAAAATTTTGGGGAAGAATATAGATTTCTTGTTTGGGGGTCAACAAAGTAGTCGTAGTCAATGGTTCATAATTTTGAGTGAAATGATTTGTAATCAATGACCCAATTGTAAAGCGGCATCTAATCTTTATATTTCTTTAAATCATCCACTGTAGTTATTAACATTATTTCTGTCCTCATCTTCCATCTTATTAGTTCTCTCAGTTATTCTGATGATATGAGGTTCGATAGGCTTGATCAATACATATTTTTATTAGGCTCTATGTTGTCTGTCACTGACAACGACAAATATTTTTAATTTTAGAATGATGAACAGAATCTAAGCATTTAATTGATGGAAAACACAAATTCCAAGCAGTCAATTTGAATGAGTGAAAACATATCCTTCACTAAGCTGACACCAAATAATGATTTGAAGCTATTCACGAAACAGAAAACTAAGAAAATTAAACACTTCCATTATAAATAAGCTGAAACGAAGTTAACATTAAAAAAACAACTTCAAAATACAAAAATATTATATAGAACGAAGTGTCCATACATTTAGTTCATGACTTTAATGACAATAAATAGTTTTCAATAAAGTGAAGGTAAACTTTGCTAATCGAATTCAGGGATTATAAAACGCGATGAAATGGTAACAGCTGAGAAATAATGAAAAACTAGCTTCATCATCCGATTACTATGTATACTAGATTTAGATTTCGCTAATAATGGTTATATTACTACTTTGACATTAAACGAAGTTGTGTGAAAAAATTCAAACATATGCATTTATTTACAAAATACCATCTTAGAAAGGCAACTGATAAATCAAATGATAGACAGGTATAGAAAAACTTACATATAATAGTTGACGAATTGCTTGTTGACCAAATAAAGTTTGATGTTGTCGAGCGAATAATGCCAGTGTGGTTCCGCCACAATTAGAAAGTTGAGCACATAAACTTTGTAAAATATCACAAAATAATCTTGGTTTAGGTGATCCGATTTCAGAGAACCAAGGTTGTGGGAAGAAATAACCTGTAGGAACATCATTCATATTGGAAGGATTTTTAAGTGAGGTATTGGGGCCAGTTCGGCTCTCAATGTTGTCGGATACTGCTGAATCTAATCTACAAGTCATATAAAAGTATAATGAAATAAAAAGTTTACGAAAAGAAAGCAAAGTTACCAACAATGAGGGATAATTATCTGAGAAAATGGTGAATGAACAGAAAAATGAGACACAATTCTAGTAGAGTGAAGTAAGCAAAAATCTTCGCAAATTTCTTTAGTAGAAGAAATAAACTATTTGGAACAAGTTATAGTAGTTGAAAGTATGTTAAAAAAACATCATCAGAAAATAATGAAAAGATAGTGTATTTTTCTATATTTCAAGGTTATATGAAAATCAATGCTTACTTAGGTCGCTTTGGTCGATGAACAGGTTCCAGTTTATTATCGTTTATTACCGAATTTCGGTTAACCATATTATTACGAAGATTCATATTCGGCTTTAAATGAACAAGCCAAAGGCGTATATGTTTACGATGAACAAATCGTGAATGAACGCTGCCAACATTGAATACCTAAATTATAGAAAGAATAGACACATAAATCGAGAAAAGGCAAAACATTAAGAAACTATTTTAATTACCTAGAAGAAATAAAAACAAAAATATCAGAAGCTTTATATTATCATGCAATATAACTGGTGGTTGGAGACTTTGAATGAAATGGTTCAAACTCGTTTGCATCAGTGCAGATACATCCATTCTTTGTATTCTCTTACATTCTAATCTTCTGAATTCCTCATGACTTTTTTTTCTCTTTTAAAACTTATTTCATTAGGGATATAACCCTCGAATCATATCTTCGATTCCTAATCTTTTCATTTACCACTAATACTGCTACTACCTCTACTACTATGGGATTTGAATTGAAAATTCCATCTCTCTTTGTTAATACGGTATGACACCTTGAACTGATGTCGATATGTACAAAGTTCTATGTTGTTGCTGACTGACCGATTGCAATATAACTTTTATGAAAATAGTGAAGTAAAATAAATACGAAAAAACAATTACACAGACTAACCACATGAGAGTTCAAAAGATTTTGTAATGCAGCTGAAACGTTGCTCCTATCACCAATATTTTCCTAAAATGATAATTTTTTAAAAATAATGCAGCTTTGAAATAATTTTTGTCGAATACTTTAGTATATTGAAACAAAATTTTCGAAAAACATTATATTCATCGGTATAACTTTTTTTAACAAAATTAACACTAGGATAATGCTAATTATCAATAAATACATCCAATCAATAAGATAAGAATGACTTAAAGTCTACAAAATACTGAGCTAATGTTCCATTGCTTAGTTGATTATCTTGAGTAGTGATAACGTAGTTGAGTAACAAACTAAAGACTAACTTAACTCACAGATGCCTAAAATATAAGTACAAAAATATTCATGAACATGTTAAAATGAAGGTTTATGGGTGAATTCCACTGTTTTATACTAAAATATAGTTTTTTAGAACTGATATATATAAAGGTGTGTCAACTGGAACGTAAGATAGGCTTATTGAGACTACAAAACGACATGGAAGCAGAACTGCTTTCGACTAGAGTTTTTAAAAAAATATATGGAGTCTGGCAATCAGTGGAATCCGGGATGTGAGGTTCATCCTAGTGATAAAGCAACACATCTTACTAAGACTATGTAATTTTACGAGCAATTTCAAACAATACAATACCCAGTGTTAAGAAAAAACAGTGAACGATAGGTACTGTTAAAATCAATGCTGACTCTAAATTATGATGCGCAACAATTTTGTGAAACCTGTTTGGTAATCTAGATTTAAATACCAACTTGTAGGAAGTTCAGATTGAATAAATTTTTTTCATCTGTGACTAAACAATCCAGTTATTTGTTGTAATTGCGGTATATAGTTAGCCGACTACCTATGAAACAGTGTTCTACGGTTTAAACTAAACTACATGGTTAATCTTAGCGCGTGAGTAACTAATGACAAAACAGATATTCAATCAATAAGATCATTATTATTTTTTTTATTATTATTATTAGAAACTGACTTTAATTTCCATTATAGAACGACCATTAAATTGACCTGTTCGAATGTATTCTTCCAGACGATATGATAAACTATCTTCTAATTTGATGTCCATATCCACATCGATTTGATTTTCAGCTTCAATTAGGCTACCACCACCATTCAAAGAATTGATGCACAAATCAGGCATTTGAAAGACTAATGAATTACTAGTTTGTTGAACTAATCGTTTCAATGAGTTTATCATAGATTTAGACAATTTTGGTAAACTCCAATCGGTATTTTCTGAATTGTTTGTTAAAACTGCTTGAATATAACCACCATTAAATGATAAATGATGATCGAACCAACGTGAATGTCGGATAGCATTATAGTCACCAACAAACAGTGGATCGTTTAGCATTTCATTAGACATACCCATACGATATAATAAATCTTTGCGTAATTCAGTTGGTTTTAATTGAAGTGCAGAGTTTTGTGTCGTTACTGATTGTAATGGGAGTAAATCAACAGCATCATCTGTAAAAACAATATTTAAAATTTCATTTTTATCGGGACTTAAAAAAAAAACAAACGATAACAAATTGACTGATAAATAAAAGAAATTATTGAATTTTTTTTTTGAAATAATGGTAATAAATTTGTGACTATGCTGATTAACTTCAACAGTGTGGTGTATATTTACAGATTGAATATCCAATAGGGTAATGAAGAAACATACGATACAACTGATAACTGTATTTTATGCTACGGAAATAATATTTAACATGAAGTAAATACAACCAGAACCAATAGAAGGACTCTAGATTAAGCATGAGAAATTTATGGAACTGAAGTTAGATATTTACGTTAAATTTGCAAAGTATATAGTACATTATGCAAAATATAATACAATCACTTTTAAATACTATTTAGTAAGCCCTAAATATATGTCTGTATCATATTTAATTTACACAAAATGTAGATAAAAATACAATAAATGTTAAGAAATTCAGTAACTCCGAGATCGAATTGAAGATTAATAATAATTATTTGCATAATTCTCCAACTTATTTAGTCAAAGAACTTAAAACAAACACTTAATAAATTATGTAAATGATACAGGGAATATAAATTAACATATTACTCACCAGTATATGTCTGACAGCTACCAACTAGAATTATATCTTCCACTTTGATGGATATTTGAACATCAACAAACTAGATGGAAAGCATAAACATAAAGAATAATATACTAATTCACAATCAAATGATAAATGGAGTAAGGATTGAATAAATTGTTATATAATGAAACTGACTGACGGTTTATATCTCTTTGCACTATCTGCTGAATATGCTGTTTGAAATGACAATGACTATTGTATTGATGAATAAACTGGTCCCGTAAGTAACATGCACAAATGGACTACTTGTATAAATCTAAACAATCTTAATTTGATGTCAATTTTTTTTTTATTTTATACAGAACTTTTCTCTTTTCATAGAAAAATGAGAATAAAACCATCATTAAACAATCCGTTCTGGTTGAGGGTTGGACAACAACTATTACAAGTGTCCAATGATTTATTTAACAAGCATACAGGAAATTGCGATGAAGTAGTTGAAAGAAAGTACTTACTATCAAATTAAGATAGTAAGGATAGTTGCTGAATAAGCTTGTGAAAATGGCGATTGGGTTAAAAACTCTAGCAACCAATTTACATCACTTACTAAGTTCAATGCGAATTATACTCAATATAATACTATAAACAAGATATTTTTATGGTTAAATTTAGAAGAAGCCAATAGTTTCTACTAATACCATAGAAAATGTTTACATTTTTGATTTACTACTAATGAACTACTTGCATTTTTATCTTTCACTTTTTTTCCAAACACAATTGAGTAAAAATATAATATGATATAAATTATATCATAGAAATTCACATAAAATTTACAGATGAAAATAGATTGTTATCTATATTCTGTTTAAATACATTTATTGTAATCACAAATTGATTATTATTTGGTCATTACTAGAAACGTGGGAGCACTGGACGGTCATTTTATCCTACTGTGGGACTGTGCGAGAATCGAACGTCGAACATTCGGTCTCATGAGTGAACGCTTAACCTCAAGACCACTGAGCCGAGATCCGACGATGTTAATGTCAAAACTTCAATCACACCACGGTGTTGCATGACCATACTCATTTTCTTCAATTGATAACTACCTCACACCCGACAGGGTTGAACTTGATAATTTTATTTATACATACAGTATAGAAAAACCATTTATAAACAACAACACAATAATATATTATAAACAAAGATATTTCAGGCAGTTACACAATTAATTGACTAATATTTATAAGAATAATATGAAGTAGTAAGAATGTGAATTATTCCTTTGTTGATTATACTACAGATTGAATATTAGTAAGACTTTGTTGATAAATGTGCATGTTGTGCAGAATATCTCGATGTAGACATCGTACCACAAGTTTTACAAAGCAAATGGATGACGCGTTACGTTGTTGAAGTGGAAGAATATGAGGTTCAAATTCTTGTATGAGTATCAACATTGAGATGCAGATACATCCAGTTGATGAACAGTGAACAAATAGAAACGCTAACCACAATTACCTACAATCTATCTTTTCCAGATAACATGAATAGATTATATTTTGACTTATCCGAAGATCTTTGTTGGTTTATGTTTTGACCCATAATGAATCCCATCAAAAGCCTATATAATTGTGTAGTCTCCACCACTCTAATATACATGATCGTTATGGATTAATAGATAAAGACATAAAACTGCTACCAGTGTCTTGTGAAAGTTCTTTACAACATTTTGTTAGTGCAAAAAATGATAAGGCTTTACTTAACACAATTAGATTATTTTTCATACATTTCCAATGTTGATGATCAAACACAATAACAATAAACAGACAGTAAGTATTTACACTTACTGGATAAAATAAGAACTGTTCCAAAAAGAAAGCTACACAACCACCGGTTGATATATCAGAAAATAAATGTTTATAAATTAATTTTCCCTCTTCTGATGATTGATTGTTAGTAATTCCCTTTTGCTCTTCTGCTTTTTCTTCTTCAACTACTTCTACTTCTTGTACGCTTGAACGAGTTTTTCGCCTTGATTTATTGTTAACCACATTACGTTTATTAACACTTTTATACGAATTCAAACGGTTAACAGAACTAGTCCAAATTGAATAAGATTCTGGAATGTATTTAACTTGTGTGAAAAATTGACCATGTGTCCAACGTGAAAATCTGTTTAGTATTAAAATCAAATCATGATCAAAAGTAAATAATAGCGAAAAATAATTCTAAGACAGTAAATTATCTGTAACTTGAATTTTTATTTATTTTCCATAAGAGTTATGGAGATTAGTGTTTTTACACATCAATCAATCATTGTTAGACCACCATAAGAAACCTGGAAGTACTGGACGGCCGTTTCGTCTCAGTGCGCACCCACAACTCCTGCACCTTGCTGTATTCGAACCCGTGACCTTCGTTCTTGTGCGCAAACGACTAACCTCTGGACCAATGGGCTGGCATTCAATGGTGCTAATGTCTAACTCTGATTGGTCTATGGATTTTGCACGACCTCACCCATTTGTCTTTGGTAGTTATTGCCCACATCCGACAGGGTTGAACTCCACAGGTCATGTCTTTTCACTAGAACTCCGAGAATTTCCTCACGAAGCTAATCACGAGTGAGCACATTGTACGGTATTTTCAATTAGAATTATGGAGATTAGTGTTTTTATACATTTGAAACCATTTATTTATTTGTCAATCAAATAGAGATTAGTATGTGATCAAATTTTGAGACACTTGATTAAATGACTGGAATGCTAAACCACAAATAAAATGACAATCCCACAATCTATTGATTAAAAATCAAGTAAATTTTCTGAGATGGAAAGGCGATGAACGTCACATAAATTATGTAAAATATCAATATCAAAGTATCCACAAGAATATAGAGTTATGAATTTTCATTTGTAATGCACTGATCAAACTTTTAGATAGAGTACAATTATTTTGAATAAATATTTCAGCTATAAATAATCCATGTCGAATTGATTAAATCCACATGTACACTAGAATACTGGAAGAAATAATGTGATTTTATAATTTTACTATGAAAAGATATTGCATCAATTCATTTTAAAAGTATAGATTACATTATCAAATTAACTGTCAGTCAGCTATAACGTAGAACTTGGTACGTACCTACATCAATTCAAGTTACCATTTCAAAGTAGCACAGAGAGATGAAATTTTCAAATCAAACCCCATAGTTTTAGAGGTAGTAAAAGTATTAACCGATAATGAAGAAGATTAGAGTTCGATCAAATTATCAATATAAAACTATCTAACTAAATCATAGACAGTATGGTATGTACATTATTTAGCAAATAAAAGTACATTAGTATACTGAACACAATTTACTAAAGTAATCAATAACAAAGAAATCTGCTTACCTATGACTAAGAGCAATACATATAGAATTGACAATACGAAAACCTGGATCAGACTGAAATAAGTGTACATGATAGGAAAAGAAAGAAATAACATGAATGAGGAAAGTATATAACAATTAATTATCAATTATTTACGTTATGTAGTATGCAAAAAAAGTTAAAAATTAATACATGTATAATTTATAAGTGACAACAAACAAGAAAAGTCATATAAATAATACGTATGTTTAATATAGACAGAAGACAGTAGATAATGTCGAAAATAGTAGGATTGACTTTGTGATCAAGCATAAGTAACAATATAAACTATCCAAAAATCAATACCCTTTAAATTATTATTCCGCATTAATAGTTACAAACTTATGATTGTAAAATAGGAATGGCAATATACTTCAGGGACAGTAAAACACAATACTCTACTGGAATATCTAAGAATATGTAACTATAAGCGATCGGAGTGTAAATAAATATTGCCGAATCATAATACTCTTGGATAATTTAATCACAATATTAAATAAATTAATCTTAAATATAGAGGAATCGATTATTGATGTTCATCGATGAAATGAAAATTCCTATCCTTTTTAAATGTGTTAAATGATCAGTAGAGTACTCTGTGAAGAAAATGAATTATTGATTCTTCTAGAGGTGCTGTAATTTTGCCTGAAAAAAAACCCAAAACTAACTAGAAATCAAATCAAAATGATTAGGATACTGCGTTATTTTACTTCCAGGTAAATCGTATGTTATTACCTTCCATAAACTACCGATTAAGAGTGTATGGATAGTGAAGTAAATCCTAGACACTTATTCTAAGAAAAATACAAGCGTTAATTTAATGTAATTAACTTGTACTGGTCTGCCTTATTTTTGAATGGTGAATATACTTAACGAGAGACTTATGACCTAATAAACATCCAGTTTAGAAAAAGATGACACGAGAATATGGTTAACAAGAAAAACTAAATATGGGGAATTGTATATTCGATACTTTGTCTTTCTCCTTCATATGGGTTTACATTAAAGTCATTTATTGAGCTTTAAAGGTATCACAGAAAATGTAACATGAAGAACCATATATATATATGTATATATATATATATATATATATATATATATATATATATATATATATATATATATATAACAGCAGTAGATAAAATTAATATCATTTTAAACGAAATTATACAACAACAATTTTGTATAAAATTTATTATTTTTAATTAGGTTAACAAAATAAATTCTAATTTACCTTTTTCTCATATGATTTAGGACGTTTTACAATATGATTTTTTATCAATAATGCTATAGCATGATTAACTTGTGGTTTTGGATAATATTTAATAACCCAAAAAAATACAGATTCATTGAAATCTAATGAATTCGATGGATTGGAAGAAAATCTAAAAGATGCCTGAAAGCAAGTGTTTAATTAAAACAACATTAAGGAAATAGAATATCACATAGATAAATTAATTGAATAGAAAAGAAATTGCTGTTGATATATTATTTTGTAAAATTCAGCATGAAAAGTACATATCACCAAACCTCCAATGATCAAATATAATTGTTATTGTGTTAAAAAATATTAATAGAAATGACTGACGTGTGATAAAACATGACAGTACAGGTACACGCTAATACAAAATTAATTTAAGCGATTAATGATCATTTTTCTATCTTCAGTTATATTTATCTCACAGTGTAGGAATTTACACTACAATTTATAGTAAACGATAGCATAGCTGAATTTTTATAAAGTGTATCACTTGTAAAACATAAGCCCAATGGGATAAAGAATTGTATAAAAGCTGGGTAACGACTGATAGTGGGATCCAGGATAAACGTCTCGTCCTATTTGGGACTCGTCAATTGTATACACCAGTATTGCAGCAGTGATATTCACAATACGATTTGGACCCGGCGACTCTAAATGTACTTGGCTATTCAGTTCAGATAGCTACTAACTTGTGCAACACGCAAGAATCCTATTTCTGAGGGTTTGTATTTGCCATTGTTAAGGACTTTCTATTAACATATATACATCCAGAGTAGATAATTTCGGTATCGCTATTTAACTGCACGTTTCAATAAAGTTAGATAGTCGTGTGTAATGAAGGTAGAGAAATCATCATTGTCATTAATGAGAGATGTGAACCTTTACAAAAAAATCTATATGATAAAGTTCTTTGATTGAACAATAATATTATACTGACGAGACACAAATGAGATAATAACTGGTAATGAAATTTTCTGGATTGGTTAAGTAGCATTATTAGTTCCCCTTTTTTAATTATGTAAATAATTTAATTAACATTCATTTAAATAAAATGAACAAACATTATCATGCAATAAATGATGAAATATGTATTTTGTACACAAAAAAGAATAAATCTACAAATGCTCAATTATTATCATAGGTATCATAGTTCACAGAATGTTAACCTTGGAGATTTTTATTAAGTGCTTGATTTATTAGCTGAACGAGAAAACAAAGACATAACACAATTAAGATATAAACACTTATTAATAATAGATTTAACAGTAGTAAGGATATTACTTAAAATTATTTATTACTTTCCAATACCTGTTTTGTTGTTATTCATCATTGTAAATCTTTATCCAATATTTTAGTTTCATATTAAGGTGTATACACTGGTAGCATTATTTTTGGCATATACTTCTAATATTCTATGCAGAAAGTACAGTAATGACATTCATTCAAATGTTACGAGATTTGACACTATTGTATCACAATGAAAAAAAAACGAATTATTCAAGTTTTAATTAAAATCAAAATGATCATTAACTTACTAAAATATAATTATACATTGTATATAGTACAATCAAAAGACGATCATTTCCAACTTCTGGTAAAACATTTCGATCATTCGGATCATCTAAATATATCAATTCATAGTAAGACTCCATCTCAGATCGACTTGAGCCAATAGACACAGGTTTGTCAACGCCTTGATTAGTCGGTCTTTCAAAACTGCTAGTTGACTGATCTCCACCTGATAATGATAATAATTAATAATAAAATTTATGCTACTAACATTAATAATCATAGTAATAATAATAATAATAATAATAATAATAATAGCACTGACAACAGTCAAATGTCAGTCAATGTAACAACAAGAAAATAAAAACAGTGAATAGGAGAGACCTAACGACATAATCATTACAATTATACACATAATAATCATAGTAGGACTAAAAAAAATTATAACAAACCAGTAAGATAATGACAACTTACGTTTGACAACATTAAGATTATTCAGCCTTAATAAAATATGTGGCATAAACGTGCTCAAAATGTTATGTACTAATTCGAGGAAAATTATTCTAGCCTTTTCTATTTCTTCTTTACACATAGTACGCCATTTATCCCTTCCAAAATTATACTGGATTGGTAGAATAAAAAAGAAACGAAACAAATCAACTAAATGCATGTAATTTATCAATTAGGTAGGAGTACAAAAGGCTCTTGCAAGCACAGACGTACTAATAAAAAAAATTATGTTCAACAGTGTACACTAATCAAATCAAGAAATGTAACCGCGAAGATATATATTAAACGTCTTTAGTTAGTTTCACTCAGTAAAAATATCCCTATAGGTCTATTGTTTAGCATTTGTGTTATTGATATGTACTCATGATATGATAAGTGTAAAAAAATTAGGTAATATTTAATTAATATGTCACAAATTATGTTTCTTAATAGAAGCTAAGTTTGTAAGTAATGAGTAGATGTGTTGTTCATTTCTCTACGATTTGAGTAATAATGGTATATTTCTAGTAAGACTTAATTACAGTAGATATTACATGAGAAAAATATCATTCAATAGCATTCACGAAATCAGTGGAACAGTAACGTAACGGAATTATTGAAATAAATGAAAATGGTTAAAAAAATTTCGTAAACGTTTCGATATACAAATTCAGCTACTTGTAAGTAGAATAAAATTATTAATTTAAATACATATTGGAAGCATGAAAATGCGCGAATAATTTTTGAGAAAATAGGATATTACCAAACAAAAAAGTAATGTGTTAGGATTTCAATTCATTGCATAGTTTTAAAATAGTTTTCGTCACAAACTAACGTTTTTTAGATCCGACTTAGTGTTGGGTGTTGAAAGACCCTACACCATGACACAAACGCGTCTGTTGAGTGATTTTCTGAACTTCAGCAGATTTCTAGTTTATGTTAGTTTATGTCGAAGACTATTGCCATGAACAATCATAAAATGACTACATACCTTTAACTGCCAATCCGGTCGACTAGAAACACGTGTGAAAAGTAGCTTGCCCGATACCCATTCAGGTCCTTTGCTTAACAACACATTCTTAAGTCGCCTGGCACAAGCTGCAGGAGTTTTTAAGCAGTGCAACTGTCAATGGGATATGAGAGAGGAAAAATAAGACGGTGATTAGAATAAGCAGTGTGTTGCAGGTATATCTTAACATAACCAGATGTTGCGTGACTAACAGGTATCGAACCTGGAGTATACAAACCTGCAAGTCCATGTGCTAACGAACTACACCAACAAGAGGAACGGTGTGGGTGTCAAGAATAAATACATGACAGATATAAAATCTGATTTTTTTTAAATAACATGACCATCTACACACTTCATTGATTATTATTACCCACAACAGCACGAGTACAGAATTGCTGAACAACTCACACAACGTTAACCATTCACAATAATGAGAGCAATCTGAATTTAGATATGATGACACCTGAACACAAATCTTATTGTAAAATGATAAAAAAGTTAAGTGGATAGTGCACTAGAAACAAAACGGTGACAACTGGTAATTTCAATATAATAGTAGTTAAAACATCATGCATGATCGGGACATGACGATGGTTGTCAATCAACAGATGAATTAGAATATGTGTTCGTCTTTACATTATAAGTAGTAATTAAGAGTGAATTTACGCAGATGCCAACAGCAAATAAATATATTTGAACGTAACTATTGAAAATGTAAGCATAAACTTATGTACAATTCAACTGCATTTAACCTAAACTAAGAAATATTCAAGAAACATTGAATAGTTACACTGTAATGAAGGTATTTATGGTATATTTTAAACCTAGCCTTCTGATTGATTGTTTTACCATTAAATATGCAGTGAAGTCTACCATATTCATCCAAGAATTGATGGATTGAAGGAAAAACATGATAGAGAAGCATAAAATTTTCTTATCAACGCTACAAGCGAAAAGAAAAGTGTATCAAATCATAGTTCCCAAATATGAGGCTCAATACCACCTAAGTATGCTTTAGTCTACTATTTGAAACATATATATTTTAAGCACCCAAGTGCCCTTGCACGGTTGAGAGTGGGGAGAACGCCGTCACCCACTCGAGATGAATACTACGAATAGGTATCACTATAGAAGCTAAAATAAGTGCACACGAAAGTTGATCTTAAGAAGCATGTGATAATATGAAAAGGCATTGTTTATATATTATAAATAAAATATGAAAATGAAAAATAGTGTATCGTTTTGGCGTATTACAAACTGCTAGTGATATATGTATAACGATCATATATAATAATTAGTTTACCTGGGGAATATAACGATGCAGTACATCTCGAACAAATGTATAAGGTGCACTAACATATTCTCTGCGATTTTCTCCAGCAATCAACAAAGATGCTACTCTACAGGTAACAAGCTAAAAGTTAAAACAATATGGAATTATACACCACGAAAGTACACCATTATCACAAAAACGTAAAATCTTATAATCACAAGAAAGTTATAGCATTCTACAGCCTTTATTGATAATCGTGTGTTCAAAATATCGAGAGAGTGAAGACTCATTACTTTATCTAATACTAGAATTATTTAGCTGTAAGTGAACTAGATGCCAAATTATTGCAAAGAAAAATTTAATTCATTTGTCACTAGGACCATGAAAAGATCAAAGTTAAACAAGTATTGGAAACTTAGAAGCACTAGATAACCGTTTCGTCATAATATGAGATTTTTTAGAGGTGGGCATCTACGACCCAATGCTTCCAGTGTTTTCAATGACTGACTAGCTTTGATCAATGAAATTTAACAGTCTTCGCAACCCTATACTCACAGTTAATTCATTCATTTTTTATTCAGTGAATGAGTATGAACAAAATTCAAAGCTAACAAGTTAACAAAGATTTATATTCTCATTTGTGTATTTGCTTAATTTGCTTCTAAAGAAACGACAGAGCAACATAATTTACGCTAGCATAAGCAGATTGTGATTCATACTTTATATGAATTAATATACCAAGATGTAAGTGATTAAATCGATGTACCGATAGGACAAAAAAAATTATTTTCCCACTTCCCTCAAGTTTCAGAATATCAGTATGAATAGAGAACAGAGAACATAAACAGAAGATATAACAGAAGATATAACTAACCAAACGATCCTCCAATTTTGACCAGGTACAACGAGGAGCACGAAGATATAAATCATCTGTTCATGAAGAAAACAGTATTAAATTAGAGAGAGAAAACTAGGAGCACAACGAACATTATTATTACTCCTTTTTAGTAATCACAGTGAATTTATTTATTCATTCTCTGAAGAAATGGCTTACACTGAGTCACGAAAAGTCAGAAAAAAATATAACTTTTCTACTTATTGGGATACTAAACATACATTATTTCTACTTAGGATACATTTAAAAACTTAGAGTTTCTCATTATTCGTTTATTTTCTAGTGAATTCCAACTCTATGATAACATAATGAAACACATCGGGCGAATATTCTACAAAAATATTAACTTATTAAGGTTTACAGATGAACGTCGTGATAACATCAAGTCAATTAATGAGACTAAACTGGAGCTTTTGCATGAATAACGACTTGAATAATTGTAGATTGCAATATACTGACGCATTGTATTACTCATAAGTAGTAACAATGATATAGCTGAATAATTAAAAGGAATGATGAAGGCTAATCAGATTTTGTTTAGTATAATATCAAATGACAACCTAATCTATGCTTGATTTGAAATAATGCCATATATATATCAGACCCTTGTGATTGTCTAATGGTTAACATTTCAATCTAGTGCTTTATATATGTTATTAACGGTTCTAATTTATTTATATCCTAAATCAAATATATCTTCCCATTGACTGTTTTTAAAAGATTGTAATTACTAATAACAATGAACTTATTATTACTAACAACTAAGAATAAAAGTATAGAACATTTATTTTACATACATGACATAATATTTATCACTCACTGATAATTAATTTTAAGTTGAAAACATTATACTTTGCTCATTTAATTATTTAGGTATCTAACCATGAATGATATAAAATTCAAGTAAATATGAATATTTATTCAGTAAAAAAAGAGTGTGTCAATGTCAAAAGTAAAGAATAATTTTTTTGAAATACTTACAAGGACCTGATTGCGCGTAACTCGGTTTTTCTGAAGAGATAAAGAAAATAGACACATATGAATTAAAGGTTATTTTCTATCATTTTCACAATCTCTTAATTACCAACTAGACTTAGTGAATGTATGATGCGCTGGAAATAAGCTTCTAACGTGAAATAGAACTACTACTACTACTCAGTAATTCACAATTCAACTGGTTGATACTGAAATATAACACCTAGTTTATCGAAGATGAATGTTACCGAAAGAAATAGTGGAAATTTGTGGCTTAGGTGGATGATTATGGTGAATGCTTCCACGACCGAACCAACTAGCACAGAGAATGAAACTCCATCATAGATACAGTTAGATCATCTGGCGGTAAAACAAAAATACTTAGGGACTTAAAAATATGATGTAACCATATATTTTTAATCTCATTGACAAATAAAACCTAGTTGTTGAAACGACTAACATTACAATTAAACTTTGAAGCAGCTATATATTTCACGAAACTCACTGTCAATCGAGCTATAAATCTTAGTGCGATCTCATGCATTCGTAACTTTTCCAATCACTACTTTACATAATATAATAAACCAGAAAGTTTAAGAACCTCGTGATGCAAACAGAGTGCATTACTTATACACATTATGTCGTATTGAAAAGTAGAATTGAATATTATTCTCGAAATGAAAACAAGCCAATTTATAAGGAATCTTAAAGTATGAATGGAAAATGGAGTATTAACCATGTTTCAGAACTACCAAATTTGAAAAGACAAACTTCTTTTCTAAACGATTATCAAAATAAATTTAACCGGCTTTGACAGTTTTATTGGTTTTCATTGTGTGAGCAATTAACTGACAAGACATTTATCGATTACCTAAAGGCTATGCTTTTACCTACAACGCATCAATTAGGTATGTCAAGTTAATTTAGTTTAGTACGTATGGTTGGAATCCCCAAGATTATCATAATTAAGGCTTAGAAATGTTAGACGACATGATTCAGAATAAGTCGTAATGACGCAAATGAATTCAGGCTTTGTCTTAAAATACTCATAATTTTTATTGCTTAAAGACATTCTTTTTACACAAATTATCCTGTTTATGTTCAATCTTTTTTACTACCATTAGTGTTTTTATTACTTCTACGACAAGAATTTATCTTGAGATGGTGGAGAAAATTTGTAGCTCAAGAAGATGATTGTAGAGGAGTTTCGTTCTCTGATCTGGATGTTTATCTTGATAATTTTAGTTCGGTGTGATCGTTTGGTGGGGCAACTTGAACAAATGCACACATATGCCCAGCCTAACGTTGCTTACGGTTGACTGAGGTTTAATAGATATGTTCTTTTTACTCATACAAATACTTCAGTATCACAATCACTGTACTAAATTTATTTTATCAATATATTTAAGAAATTAATAAGAACTAATGATGTGAGGAGTTTGAGCGCTGTTTTTTCTAAGACTTTGAGCACTTAGTAAATACGACGTAAATGCAGAAAGAATTATCCAGATGTGAAATAAATTGAACAAATGCACAACATCTATTTTCGAATAGACAAAAATGATGTTCCACATCCTATATATATATATATATATATATTGATTTAATTTAGTTAACCACTCGAAGTTTTCAATTAAAAACTTAAATATCATACATCACTTACTTTTACATTGTCTCAAAATTCCACGTATCCGACGTACAACAACTGAAAGGAAATTAGAACAAAGATAGTTCTCGATGTGTTTTTATGATAAAAATAATTATGCATTAACTAACAGTAGTTCCGTTTATAAACCCAGATACTCAACTTGGAGCTACACTTTTGTTTATAAGACATGATGACACTGTCTGATTAGCCTAATCAAAGCCATTCGAATATAGTTTGAAGCTATAATTCAAAAATTAAATGTTTCATGTTTTAATCACTAAACTATGGCACCATGTATAAAAAATAATATATTAAAATTTGGAATTTCGTGTGTAAATAACATCAGTTAACACATGTGTACGCAGCAGCTATTCGGTAATTTTGCACGTGATATCAAAATCAAACTATACTTTAAATCACTTAAAAAAAAGCAGTATTTGAATTTGTGCGAAGAATTGTCTCTTAATTTAATACTTTTGAAGGTATTTAGTTTTATGAACTTGGTGGTTTAATTATAAAGATTAGAGTGTCATTTTGGACAATATTGAGGAATATATCAAATAAAAGTGACATTAATAAATTCATTCAATAAGCAGGTTGTATTTGGCGAGGAATGACTTCAGTCAAGATACTACTGAGAACCAGGGAGGTGTATCCACGGTTCCATTAGGGACCAAACCCAGGACGTTGAACCACTAGTACCACTGGATTGAGGTCTAATCGGGCAACTTTTGATTCAACTAATTGGTATATAAAGCAACGACCATACGATCTTACTGGTGACCACTAAGTCACTTCCAACAATTCTGAACTCTACCAGTCACAAATTCTCACTAGATCTTTAGGAACATCTTGAAGAAAGTCTATAGTGAGTTAACGACTACAAGTAATTTGGAAGATTACTGTGGAAATTGACCTAATCTGTAGGTTATATTCATCGAAATTTGACTACAGTTGCGGTATCACAAAAAATCAACCTCTTTCACCTCGCTTACTTAATGTGTCAAATCAGTTAGACTTGAAGACCTATCTTGCTAGGTAGCAAGGATGAATAAGGAGAGTAGCTGATTTAAAAAGAATATGGTACCAATAAGTTACTCAAAGTGTTGAATCAATGAAGCTTAATATCAAATAACGATTAGAATATCTGGCGTGAATAAGAATTTTATAAACTTGATGAATTATAGTGTTGATCGTTAGAATAAATCAGCAACAGAAAAACAATGTAATGAAGTAGACTGATAACTGTATTATGGGATTTGAATTGACAATTTCATCTCTCTGTACGAATGTAATATAGCA